AGGTTTATCATCATCCAGTCAAATTGACTGAACAAAGTTTTCTCTCTAAGGAAAACCAGCTGATTGCATCGACTCATTGACTCTTCAGCAATCCCTCACACTAAGCATGCTTGTAGCAACAGTGGAGAGGAAAAACTCCCTTTGAACAGGAAGAAACCTCCAGCAGAACCAGGCTCAGTGTGAGCGGCCATCTGCTGAGGCCCACTGGGGTTCAAGGAGACAGAAGCAGACATAGAAAAAGAAGCATAGATACAAAATGCAACTGTGAACTGGGCGGCCCCGTCCAGGAAACACACAGCCAGGCAGACGAGCTCCGAGCCAGCTCCCATGTCAGAGGATGAAGAGAGCACATCCAGTTAGTCACGGTCAGAGAAACAGGACTACACTGGAAAACAGGCCAAGCTCCAACATCTATAAACAAATAAAGATTTCGAAGGCCCTCTTGTACAGACTTCACCCCATAGACTAGAACTTCATAATCACATAGGGAATTAAATGAGAACCTTAATTAGGTTTATTTATTTTTTAAAGTTATCTAATATGGTTGATGGATACTGTGTGACCTGCTGTGTTTTTCATTGTTCTGTTATAATTTTTTATGTAATGTTGTGAGAGGGAAGAAAAAAAAAAGGTATTTCCTGTATATATGCTACCGTCTTTTATAAGACATCTATGTGGTTTGAAAAATCTTAAAGTCTTTGTTACTTGCCTAAAAATCAAATAAAAAATATTACTTTTCCCTAAACCTTTAGTATTCAATAATGCTCATGTATTTATAGTTTTTTTGAGTGCATTTCAAATAATTTTATTTTGCCACATATCAGGGGACACTATGTTAATAATTATTTGTATTTTAATCATAATATCTACTGATAAGTGAATAAACCAGAGAAGAAGGCAAGGAGATAGGTTGGTTCTACAGTTTTAGGTTTAGAGTGTTTCTTCATGCTGCTGCTTATCATTACCAGACAGTTTGGCTTCGCACCTGCTCTTTAAAACTGTGGGACTGGGGATGGGTGGGGGGGGTTGCTAGTGAAGGGGGAGGGGCCAGAAGGCTGTCCTTTTGTAAAGTGATGGGGGTAGGAAAGTCTGTATGAATGTGGAAGAATAAAATAGACTGATGTATTCAGAGAAGCTTAGAGATGCTTATTATCAAAACGCTGATCTGTAGTGATGCAGATTATACTTTTTTATTTTAGTCTTTTGTACTTAATTAGTAATAGTCCATTCATCTTTTTCTCAGGACTTTAGGGAGGCTGCTAACCATCTCCAACGCTCCTTTTTTGTGGGATATGGCATGCCCTGGCAAGACTGCCAATATATCAGAGAATAACTGAAAGACACGTAGCCATGCATATGCGTGTCCATACATAAGGATATTAATAATGAAAAAAACAACATTTAAACTGCTTTGCACACTTCAGTGTTGTTAGATGAGCAAGAAACAGCTGGGAGCATCTCATCAGCTGAAAGAAAAGACAAAGAAAAGGGGCAATGGGGTAGAGGGTTGGTATTTGGGATGGGGCCAGGCTTTTAGCAATGCGTAAGGGCGTACATGGTACACCCTTTAAACAATATATTAGAAACTGCACTCCCTGTTTTTGGGATGTATGGCTTTGGCACACCCTAATTTTCTCTCGGAAACTTTGCTCAAATGTTCAAAATTTGCCAATCCGCATGACACGCTTCACAAGAGCAGATGCTGGAGTTGGAAAAATAGAATTTTTGATAATCAGCAATCCGTTTATGGTTCTTTCTTTGTTTTTTTCGTTTCAAAACAAAAACGAAAAAACAAAACAAGCATGTGGTTTTTTGTTTTTCCGTTTTTAAAATGAAATTAGAAATACGGCATTTGCAAAAATGAAAAAAGGGTATGTTTTGGGATTTTTTTTTAACTGCAATGGTTAAACCAAAGACTAACTTTTATTTTGTTTCTAATTCAACGGACCGGAAATGAAGACCTGAACTCCCAACGCATAACTTTTTTAGTTGCCAGTAGGTGGCGGTAATGTACGCCTTCAATTTCTTGCCAACCGCCATTATAATCCACAAGAAGAAGAACTTTTTCAGTTAGCACTACCAAAATGGAAACGATGGCTCTGTTCGAAATCCTGGGCTGCGCCCTCCAATTCTTCGAAGTCCTTGAAAATAAGGAGACCGGAAGAGTTTTGGCTGTGAATTCGAACAGGTCTACCCTTCTGCGGGTTTTACCGCCGTATGCTCTGTTGCTTAGCAACCGTGAAAGTTGACACACAAAGCAGGAAAAGAATGAAAACCAAAGTTTTTAAAACTGTTCATCTAAATTTTAATTTAGATGGCAAAACAAAACCCAAATGCTGTTGATTTTCTATTAATTCGATTTTTCATTTTTTCGATTTTAAAAATGGAAAAACAGAAAAACCACATGCTTGTTTTGTTTTTTCGTTTTTGTTTTGAAACGAAAAAACCAAAGAACGAATGATACACAGATTCTCAGCCCATCATAGAAGCTGATCTGTGAGCTGAAACAATTAATGCCTAAATTAACTTAAAATGTTGAAAACCTGCCTGTAAAATATGTTCGCTTTTGCTATCCTAATGCCTGAAGTTTGAATTACATACCTGAAAAATGCTAACATCTACTTCCAGCCCCCACCAACAGTAGGGGGAAAACCCCAAGAGGCGACCAGGCCTGAGGCAGCTGCTGCTGGGGATTCCCAGTGACAGCGCACCGCCAGTACGTGGGCGTCTGAGCGGCTCCAGCACTGAAATAGTATTTGAAGGCAGGATGGTAATCTGGATTAACTGACTGCACAGACCATGTTTCTAGGTGGACTTTCTCTCTTAAAAACATATTAAACATTTTACCCATAGATCACAGCAAATATAGCAAAGCTGCTCTCTGCCATTGAACACAGGAGCAGCAGAAGCTTCAGACGAATCTGGACACACCTTACCTGACGTGATTCAGGAGCATCAAAGAGGCTCTGCAGGCACGCTTGACTTTAATGTGGACAAGCATAAAAAAATTAAGCAGCAGACACTTTTTTTCATGTTCAAAGCCCGTGTGATGAGAACGCAGCAATACACTTTCTGATTGTTTGAATGAACCTATGAAACATAATGTTGTACCTAAAAATTAACTCATGTCTTCCTTATGAAATTTCCACAACTTGTCCAGCACACATACTTCCCATAATCAGGAGAAAAATATTGCTGTAACAAAGACAAAAAGTTAGCTGCATTTAACCTCAAAATGCAGGAAATACTGTAGCATTTCAGAGAGTCTACATTTAAAAGTTTTCCGTGGGAGGATAATGCTACAATGCTTGCACCTGCAAAGCATAAAGATGTATTACACCCTATGAAATATTCCTAGCTAAAAGCCAGGAAGGCGAAATACCATCAAGGGCTCCATAGAATGGTTTGAAGATCCTAAAATCAACTGATACTTATTTTTCCAAGCAAACATTGGGGGGAAACTAAGACTATTGTGAAACACGAGTTGAGGGAGATTGCTGAAGAGTCAGTGACAAAATACAAGAAACCTTTTTCCAGGCTGATTGTACTGTCTTTTTAGAAGATACCTGTTTTTAATTGGCACCCTATATGAATCAATGGAATTCAATTAAGTTCACTTCCAAATTCCCTTTTGGAGCCATCCAGCAGCATTTTGGACAAGCAGCTAAAATGAGTTGAGTTCCATTGGGAACACTTTGCTGCTGCAGCGGTCATTGGTTCATCCTGTTGCATCATAGCACCCAGTGTCATATGGTAAGAGTATGCAGGCAGTTCCTGCAGGGTGGACCGAAACCACTGAAATCCTACAACAGATCATCTCACGGATGCCATCTTTAGCTTCACCCTATACACCAGGTAACACACCATATTATCAAGGAGCTCAGGGAGGCCTGCTCAGGATCCTGGAGGAGTTACCTTACCACGCCAGAAGGAGCATACCCATCATGCCTGGACGGGGCCGCCTTTTACAATGACCTTTTGTATCTCTGCTTCTGTCTCCTTGAACCCCAGTCGGCCTCAGCAGATGGCCGCTCACACTGAGCCTGGTTCTGCTGGAGGTTTCTTCCTGTTAAAAGGGAGTTTTTCCTCTCCACTATCGCTACATGTATGCTTATTGATTGCCTTCCAGTCAATGAGTTGATGAAATCAGCTGGTTTTCCTTAGATAGAAAACTTTGAATCAATCTGACTGGATGATCTGGTGAACTGGAAAGTACATTTAGATGACATGTGATGTAAATTGGCGCTATAGAAATAAACTGAATTGAATTGAATCAGGCATTTATAAAATAATTTGGCCACCAACTGATGAGTACCAATTTTAGTAACTCCCTTTTTTTTTTACTTTCAAACATTCTGTGTGCTGATTATTTTCATTATCATCCACTGATGCTAAACTAAATGTTACTGAGTAAATGTTTATTCAATTATATTCTATTTTCTTTGCAGAGAAAAAAATCAAGCACTACTCTACAGCAACAACAGTAAGGCACAGAATCAGATTACATTATCTAAACAAAAAGAAATCCACTTTAGCCTCTCTGTTCCTGTCTGACACATTCAGATTCACTTTTGCTTTATTAATGTCGTTCCATTCCTCAGTGAAGCTGAATGGAAAATAATGCTTGTTATGTTGCACAGGGACCCCTGGTTACAGATGATGGAGCCATGCCGTGAATATAAGCTTTTACAGTCGTGATTGGAGGGATCTGCTTCCTGCACAGCTCGCATTGGTTCCATCACGACCAGATTTGTGTTATTAAATAGAAAATTCAACCTTCCTTTTAAAAAAGATGGGAGGCATTTGGTAAATGTGCCCTGAGTTTTGTCTTATTGGATTCTTTTGTAATGATAATCTCCGTTCATTTTGCTGTGTTTTTTTTTAATATATGATGTTTTTTTTATGATGTTATTGTTATGTAATTCCACACTTCAACCAATGTGCAAGCAGTCGGTAGCCCGCACGCCACCATCTCAATCCCGGCAGTACATCTCCTGTCAGGCATCGCTGAGGGAAAAGTGCACAGATTGACGGACGCGCCTGGTGCTGAACGCTTTGTTAAAGGCGCTGCTTTTCTGACGCTCCTCAATAAACTCTTCGTTTCTCCTATTTATATCTGGGAAAGACGAGCAGCGGTGAAGAATTAATGTCTTATTTTCCTGTTTGATTTTTTGATTTTTATTTTTTTGCATTCTGCTGGATGATCCAAACAAAGACGGTGAGTTGTTGACATTTTTCCATCCAGCGCCATTTGCAGACAGGTGCCTACACCTACTGTCCCGGTGTAAACGCTCTGGATTGATCCAGATGCAGATTTATTCATCACCAAATCTTCCACTGATGCACTGAAGGTTAAAACTAACCGGTGATTTACAGCAGAGCGGCCGGTCACAGGTGAATGATAGTCCGCTTAAACGGATGGAGCTGTGGTGCTGAAATAAACGCTCTGGCTTTCATTGGTGCTGTTTGTTTCCATTCCTTTTTCACAAATATGTATTTTATAAATATCATTTTAATGTTCAGCAGAGATTGCTTATATTTCAGTGTAACCGTTATAACTCGGCTCATTATTATCTGGGTTTTTTTCGGCGCAGTTGCCATCTTTATGGAGATTTTATGAATCTAGGAGCGTTTTATCCTAGAGGTTCAGTCCATCTATGGAAAAAAAAAAAACAACGACCATTTTCTATAATAATGACGGAGGAGTGAATTTTTTTAGACACTGATGATTTTATGATTCAAAAGCAGAGCTTTTACTCCTTATTTTGTTTGGCCTACTTTAGACCAGTGTAAATAAGGGAAAATAATACCTTATTTAACCCTTAAGCCCCGAGGATCTTAGGGGCAAATTCCGCCAGAAATTACATGTGAATTAAAGCAAGTCCAGCTCCCAAATTATAAATTAGAATTGTTTGTGTGACAGAAAGGCATTGAGGAATATTTTTCAAGTGGAACCACTATTTTAAATGTCACCATGTCTGATTTATGGGTGATAAAACAAATAAAAAATGAAAAATATTTAGCCTCGCCAAATTTTATTCCAAAATAAACACCATGAAAGCCCATTTGAAACTCTGGATGAACCCTCAGACTTTATAGATCCATATCTTGACTATGACTCAAGCAAATTTAGACTGAATAAGTTGAACCACAAAGGTTATAGTGGGCAGTGTGCGACGCGGAAATGTGATTTTGGCACAATGCTAAAATTGCAAAAATGCATTTTTTTCCACTCATCAAAGGGAATCTGCTCAGACAAATATGCTGATTTCCATTATTGGAGACCTTTTGCATACAGTAAAGTCTTTGTTCCTAAGATTTAGTCGTTGATTCATTGAAATTTACCAATAATATCACCAAACTGAATAGAAAATAAGAACAACAGAGAAAGCTTATGTAACACATGCCTGTTAGATCACCTGAAATGGTCGAACAATGACCTCTGACCCCTCCTTGGAAAGGTCTGAGCCTCTAGTTTCCAATGATGGCGGCCATTAGGGGGCGGGGCTAAAAACGAATACCTGTTGCATTAGTCACGCATGTTAGGTGGAATTTTATATCTTATTTTATTTATTTACTCTGCTATAAAACAAAAAGAAACATGTTTTAAGAATGTTAAAGCCCAATTTTAAAGGCGTGTGGATGAAACACCATGTGACTGTGTGTTGGCCATTTTTATAAAAAGATAAACATGAGCAGGTGTCAGTTGGGCCTTGTGCCTGCCGAGCTTTTGGGGTTAATTCACATAAGGCAAATTAATTTATTAGTTCTGATTATATTAATACTTTAAACCTTTTAGCAGTTGTTAAACACATCTGATTAGAGTAAGCCACATTTCTGTGTTAAAAATGTATGTAAACGTAAAAGTAGCTGAAAGTTTTACAGTTAAATGAAAAAAATTGTAAAAAAACAATTATTTTTAAGATCGTAATTACTTTATTAAGATTCTCTATACCTTAGTTAATTATACCTGTGTAATAAAGCATACAAAATATTACGATAAGATGTGTTTCAATAGAAAAAAAAAAATGCATTAGATCATGAAAAACCTTTCATTGGTGTTAATGGAATATTCCAAAAAAAGGTTAAAAATAATCCACTGGATTTTGTTTCCAAGTTTGAAGACATTTTGCCTCCCATCCGGAAAGCTTTGTCAAATTGAAATTAGGGATGCACGATATTGGGATTTTGGCCGATATCCGATATGCCGATATTTTAAAACTCATGTAGTCGATAACCGATATCGATACCGATGTTAAAGCTGGACAAAAATAAGTAGTCATTGAAAATAGCAGTTTTGTTATCCATTTCTGACACTTTGAAAAATAATATACTCAAATATATTTTCATATGCTGATATCAAATAGATTTTTAAAAACGCGGTATCGATCTATTTTACTTTCAAATTCTCGTGAAATTTAATTTTTCTGTTACAAACTCTCATGATATTTATTTATTCTTGTGAGATTTTGTTAGTAAAATAGATCGATACCGCTTCAATATATCAACATATAAATATGGCAAAATTTCGTGAATTTTCGGGGGATTTCGTAGCATAACGATGACATATAGCAATATTTCATTAGTAAAAGAGATTGATATGGTGTTTTTAAATGGCAATATATCAGCATATGAAGATATTGGGATATTTTAATGTATCAATATTTTTTCCCTCATCTTTAGAAGTTTTTAAGTCTGTAAAAAAGGAAGTTTTTGAGGAAGAAGAAGTAGTATTTTATTTTATATTTTTTTTAAACTTTAGAAACTCAGAAGCTGATCAAATATCGGGATAAATATCGGTGGGGTGGCCGATGTCCGATATTCAGTTTTAAGGCCGATACCGATAGGGGGCCGATTATATCGTGCATCCCTAATTGAAATGTCAGAAATAGCGTTGTTTTTGTTTAGAAAACATGCAAATAGAAATGGACGAACGGGTCCACCCCTTTGGAATGGAGTGTTTGGCTTTTTGTTTTGTTAGCCTACAATAATCCATAACTGTCTATTAGGGGTGGAACGGTTCACAAAATCCACGGTTCGGTTCAATTCACGGTTTCTGGTCACGGTTTTCGGTTCGATTCGATACATGTTGATTGTTACACCGAAATTCCCTAAAAAATTATGAAATTAATGAAAAAATCCCCCCCAAAATAATGGATTGTAATTATTTTAAATGATCCGCGGAAACCCTGGATCATTTCCGTATGTTTTGCTGCTTTGAATTTAATCATCTGGCGCATGCCCTCTAACCTGACAACAATTTCAACTGTTGTCAGGTTACATGCTCTCTACCATCTCCAAGGAACTCAGAGCGGAGCGGACGGGAGCCACAGTGGGGGCTGTAGGCTTTGCTTTGAGCAGCTGGTCTGGAGCGCAGCGGGGCGGAGCGCTGACGGAGTATGTGGGATTTCGGGATTAGCATGACATGTTGGTCATGTTGCTGTTAGCATAAACAAAACGTGTTGCACAATGCTCGCACACTGTGGCACTTTTATCCACAGCTTTCTTTCCGCCGTCATCGTAGGTCACTCTAAATGCAAAGCGCTCCTATACAGCAGACCTATAAAGTGCTGCTGGCGCGTCTTCCAACTCCTGTTCTTTCCCACTCGCCATTCTGACACAATTCTCCACAACAACTGATTTTTTTCTGCTACACCCGGCTAAGCTGCTTCGCTCCTTCTTCTTCTTGTTTACTACTGGTGGTTGGCTTTGGTCGCAGTACCGCCACCTTCTGCTCTGGAGTGTAAACGCTTCCTCTATGAGAAAAAGGAGCAGCGCATGAACCGAACGAAACACACGCGAACCGAACCGAGACAGTCGAACCGAACGATTCTGACAGCTTTCATAAATCGTCCCATCCCTACTGTCTATGGCTCTGAAAGGGGGTCGTTAAAGGGAATTGTTTATGGAACAAAAACAAGGCTTTGTTGGGCTTCTGCATAAAGCCTGGAACTCAACGCTATTTCTAACATTTTGAATTGAAAAAGCTTCCTGAATGGAAAGCGAAACGTCTTCAAACTTTAAAAACAAAGTCCAGTGGATTTTTTTTTTTACTTTTTTGGAATGACTATGAGCTGGATGACTGAGAATCTTTACCAGCTTAATGGAATATTCCACTGGCAGGGTTGAGCTGAGGGAAATTTTGAGATGGGAAGGAAAAAACAAACAGAAAACAACATAATGTTTGAGACATACTGGTTAAATGTGTAAATTAGCCCTCTGTTCGCCTACTGGGATCTAGTGATGCTGCTAGTTTTTATTTTTATTTTTATTTTTTAGCCTTAGTCTTCCAATTGTTAATTTTCTCACTAGCTACAATTGCGATTCTTAGTTTGTTACGTACTAAAAGGTTTGAACAAGACTGCCTGTACCCTTTTTAGCTCATCTGGTAAAATAAAGGAGTAATTCTGAGATTAGAACATCCATTTATGAAAGCTCCTTATCTTTGCCCACCATAATACCCTGCTACCAAAGCATGATTATTACTGACATTTTTACCTCCGCCAAGGGGGTTCTGTTTTTTTGGAGAGTTTTTGTGTATCTGTCTGTCTGCCTGTGGATGACTTGAAGAGTTATGGATGAATTTTAATACAAATGTTACCAGAGCTGTCCCTCAATCCATTAAAGTTTGGTGATAATCCGGATCAAAATGTGGATCCAGGAGTTTTTAAAAATTGTTCTCTAACACTGTGAGAAAGGGATATTTGGTGGAACAAGCAGTCCCCGACTAAACCAGAGGGTGGCAGCAGTGACTATTGACAATCTCCGCATCCAACTCAGAAAGTCCGGAGGTATTTTTACTAAAGACAAAAGAGAGGCCTTAGTTCTTTATGTGGGCGACCCAAGTTTCAATCAGACCTCTGGTCCTTTGCCGCACAACTTTCCCTCTCTTTAGTACTCCCTTTCCTGTCATCCAACTATCAAAAAAATGAGCCACAAGTGTCGTAAAAACCTAAAAAAAAAAAAAAAAAAAACACAAGAAAAGGGAAGTTTTTGGTGTGTTAAACAGGATCAAAGGAAAACTCATGGGCAGATTTTATGGACATTTTTTTACCAGAGGTGCACCTCGTGCCAAGGAACAGTTCATTTAAAATTGGAATGATCCAGATCATGTGTAAGTTTTAGCTCTAGGTTGAAGTTGATTTAATTTGACATACACTGTGCATTAAAATAATGCACAGTGTATGTCTGCAGCCTCTGGTGTTTGTTCTGTTCTCA